GTTTGTAAGGCATAGTTCACCACACTGGAGAGCCATTGCCTTCAGTGTCACCCTTGCTTGCTTCAGACGGTATCTGATGTTGATTGATATTGCATAACTGAAAAACACAATGAATGTTTGAATGTTAAAATTTAATTACAATCAAAGGTACATGGCCATGAATCCCCCTCAGTACCCTTATGCCCTTGTCTTTGTCCCTCCCTGAAGTAGTTCTGAAAGTCGTCGTTTGGGAATATCTTTAGTCACACTGTTGTGGTTGCCTTGATGTCCTGAGTTGATTCAGAATGTTCACCTTTCATATCTGATGGTGCCAAATCCACTGAGCAAGGTGGATAAGAACATGCCATAAAGTTTTTAGCAGCCTGCCTTTCCTGCTAATGGCACTTGACAGCAGCATTCACCATATATATATATATTTTTTAATCACATCTCATAAGCAGACATCCAAAACTGCTTCAGTTCTCTAAGAATGATGGGATCAAAGTGTTTGAAATAAGGAAGAATATTTGCAGAGAGATTAATGGCAATGTGCCTTTTACTGTAATAAATGTTTAAAATGTGAATGTTTGCTATATATCCTGACTACCCTTAAACCGTCCCCACTGAAAGCTAGCCCAGCCCTGTTTTTCCACCTGTACTCAACCACAGTTTACTCATTATATGTCTGTTTCTAATGCTCAATCCTGAAGATCAGCTTTCAGTGAGAAAGACATCTGATGAAGCACTGTTGACTCATTCGCTCTAAGGCCTAGTGCCTTTTAACAGAGAAGAATTATTAGTCAATCATTTCCCAATATGATTGTGTGATGATAGATTTTTCAGACCTCAATTTGGAAGAGGAGGAATTCTTGGAACAGATGCCTACAGAAAACTTTTTTCCCCATAATTTTGTTGATAAACAAATAGTAATGAGACAGTTTCAAATCAAATTGGTAGGACAGTTTCGATAATTAACACATTGCATACATTCCTCCCAGGGGTTAATTGCTGTACAAGATGCAGACATGATATCCTATCTACAAATACTATTAGAATAAATCCCTCTATTCATTAAGAGAATGTAACTATATATCTATCCTGACTACTTTGAATACACAGATACAAAATGGAAATTCATCTGTATCCCTTTTGTGGTTAAGTTCCATTATTTGAAAATTATGAGTGTGTAAACTCAGCAAAATATTCTAAAAGAGTCCAGTAGTCCATAATAGTATTGGGTCTTCCTCTTCACTGGCAATGTCAGAAATTGTTGACCTGAGTCCCCTACAGCTCAACATAACAGCATGGCTTTACTTCTTATATTTC